AACGCTAACTTCTGAGTAAGTGTGTTTGATATTTGGTCCATGGATAAACCTACTGCAGAACTGAATTCCGCTTCCCTTGATCTGACTCTTTCACACTGTTTCATTATCTTTTGACCACAGCTTATTGAATTAACCAACACGTACTTACCATGAGTAATAACAATAAAGGTATTAAAATAGAGTTCTTCCACGTGGTAGGATCTCAGGGTATCGGTACATATGCAGGGACAACATGAAGCTCAGTCTTTGGGGTGACCTAAAGCTCCTGTGACATTTTAACAGAAAAATGGATGGTTTAGCAATGCTTACTACTGAATTGAATAGTAAAGCTGCCAATTTAGTGGAACGTTGGTCCCTTGTGGGCTTTTTGTTTTCTCTATGCCTCCCTAAATAAATCCTTTGTGTACACTACTATATTATGTAGATCTCTGTTCTGCCAGTCTGCAGAAAGTGCATCACTGCCATCTCCCCACAACAAGAGATGTTGTTCCCTTCCTGAAATCTCATCTCTCTGGGGATGCAGGCCCCGTTTTCCATGCCCGCAGGTTCCAGCTCTGGTGTGGGATTCCCAAGGCCTCAGGAAAACACAGTTTACAACATTCCCACAGTGGTGGCCACTGAATGACTCTCTTCCTCTTCTCCCCTCTTCTGTTTAACTGGGGTTTCTTCTTGCCCATGTTGTTGTCAGCCAGTGGCTTGGGAAGCTGCCCAATGGTTGTTGGTTAATTTTGTGAGAGGGGGGGGAAGGAGGAAGAAAGAGGGGCAGAGGACCCCACAACCCACCATCTCTACCCCCAACCACAGTCCCCTCCAACCCCACCGTCCATGACAGCTCCACAGCTTTGTTCCCCATCCAAGACACCCCCCTTCTCCTTGCCAAGGGATCTTCTCAGTGGTGGAAAATCCTTCCCATGAGCAGTGCAGTTCCACGGAAGTAATTAATCATGGGTAGTTTGGTGTAATGGACATTGTCATGCTGCCATTAACTGATCCCCAGGCTCTCTGATGCAGATACCCACCATAATGTCAGTTCTGACATGCAAAACAAAAGAAAGACTGTTTGTTCTAAAAGGTTTTCACTTTGACATTCAGCAGAGCAACAGTCGGTGGAGTTTTTACATTCCCAACAGGTTAACATAACAGGACAGCATTTGGCAGGTTCATAGCATCTGTGATTTAGCTCATGAAAAAAACAAAAAAAAACAAAAAACACAACCATACATAAAGTAATAATAGAAAGACTGCTATCAAACTCCCCATCTATTTTTACAAGTTCAGATAAGAGGAAATAGTCATGTGGCTTGTAAAAATAAGAAGCTGCTCTAAATTTGGCCATTGCCCTTTTCAAGGCAGTGTGTTTCTGCACCTGTGGACATCTTGAAGCATACTTGCAGTTTAACTGTGGACTTGAGCTTCTGTGTCAATCCAACCCAGCACCTCATTGTCATGATTATCTCTGGTGATCTGAGTTCAGGTTCTGGCTCTGAACCAGAGACCAAGCGGCACTTTTTGGTGGAACAGCTGACAAAATCCGCCTGAAGGTGGCGTGTCGGGGTCAGGCTTGTGACCAGTCACAGTAATGTCTTTTTTTTTCATCAATCACAGAGTTGTGTGCCATAATGCCAGCTGAGGTTCACTCTGATGTTCATGACCAGTGAAACCCTGCAGAGCTACAGAGGGAAATGACTTTGAATGGAACTGTGAACACATTCAAATCACAAATGCAGTTTTTCTTTATGGGCACATGTGCAAAACCTTTTAAAAAATTGCAGTTACAAAGAAAACGTTTGACAGGATGATTCTGCTAGATATAAACTTAAGTGAAGTTAATGCGTTTTATCCCCTGAGTAAAAGCGGTTACAAAATTCAGTGGACCAGTTGAGCCAATGAACTACCTTAGAGCCTGACTTTAGCTTTAAAACATGAATACGTTACTATCATCACACAAGTGCAGCTGCTTGAATAAACAGTGAACCAGCACATTTTCCGTTACAGTCTGATTCTGTTCATAATAAGTGGATGATGCTTCATAATGCCTAATTAGCAACAGTTTAAATAAAGAATTATAACAGGTCTGTTTTCCACACCAGACCCACAGTCCGCTTCCTCATTTCCCATCACCACTGCTAATGAGCGGCTGTGGATAAAACTAGTTTCATGTGATAAACCATTTTTTCTGTCTTTAAAGTTTACATTGACAGCAGCTGCTTTCAGACTTTTCCAAGGAGTTTCTATAGTTTAACTGTTTCTGAAAGGCCGACCATACAAGACGAGCAGTTATAGACATGCAATAACTAAACAACACCCAAATGAGAGGGAGCTAATTAAGTATAAGAGCCAAGTTACAGACTGTGACAGTAATTACAGAAGCAATCACTCTACATCCTTCCTGCCCTTGCCACACATCACAACTACCGGCTTCTTTGGAAAATAGTCAAATTAAGGCTCATTAAGCCCCTCTGAGGTTTATAATTAAAAGGCACTTTTTATTAGCAAAGTTTCTTTCAATATTTCTAACCATATACTGTTTAATTACATCAATAAACCTAAAGGAAGTCCCTGTGCATCTCATACTTCAGCACTGATCGAGGAGTTTATAGAGCAAGACTAGCCTCGGCAGAGGGAAACTGCTTCTGAGCGTGAGGTTGTAACCCACATGTGTGAGTTAGAGTCTGACTTAGAGATAAAAAATGATCAATATTTTCACTCTCCACACCCAGGCTTTCCTGTTCAGTGGATCATTTATGAGCTGAAAAGTAAATTACTGCTTTTCTTGGACCCCAACATGACCAGCTCAGTGTTATGTCATTTATGAATCACGTTTAGCTGCTCTGGGTTCTGATTCCTTCATTGTAACTAAAGGAGCTTGAACTTGATGATTCTGGCGTTGCTCTGCATCAGAGGTGGGATACCTCTTTGTGTATGTGTGTGTGTGTGGCAGTGGTAAACATGCAAGTGATGTGGTCATTGGAGGAAACTAAACAGTTCCGGAACGCCTAAGGAATGAGATCACTCAAATTAAAGCGCGTGGCAATTACCAAATGTTAACAGGCTTAGTCGCCAGTGCAAGTGCAGGAGAGGAGGACGCAAAGAGATGGTGGTGGAAGCACTTTAACGAGTAACAGGTGAGTTTTGAACTTAAAAGGAAACACAATAAACAGACTCACGATGCTCATACATAAACAGACACGCACACACCCCAACAAACTTTTTACACAGAAACACCACATCCATGGAAACAGCATTTAATCCATATCTAAAGGTTGCGGTTAGCTCATGAAGTGAGCTGCACTGCATTTAACTCGGCCTCGTATGCTGGTCTCTAGTTGAAGCGGAACACTGCGGCGATATTAGCTGAGGCTGTTGAGATTTTGATTGCACTTTGTGGTGCAAATAAACTCAGGAATGAACAACACCATTCAGCTTTTCCAGGCTCCTGGTGAATGCGAGGGCGAAATAAACCGTTTACCAGCTCTGTTTCTCTTTTGTTCCAGCTACACGACCAAAGAGCTCACTTTGGTGTTCAAAAACTGTTAATGCTGGTAATGATTTGAAGGTTTGATGCACGAAGCAGTCGCCAGTAAAATGTAATCCCTCGTGTTTTGCATTTAGCCTTCAAAAGAGGACCGATTGCGACCTTGTATTTTGCATCTCACTTTCAAACGCATCTCTTTATGTGAAATCTCTCGAATAACCCAAATGAATCTGTCCACAAGAAATATAGCAGGGTGTCGTAAATAAATGCTAGCATAAAATAAATTTGACTTAAAAGAGAGGACTCTTGCAATGGAAACTCCCCACAGGAAGACAGCGGTTTACCAAACTGTCCAGTGTGTTCTTCCCTCTGCACTGGTGCAAAGGGCCTCATTCTGCATCTCTCTGTGTGTTCTGTTAATGAAAGACTCGCTTTAATGAGATCTGAAAGGACGAGGCTCTTGTGCACACAGCTGCTGAATCTTCTACACTGACCTCGGCTGGGAGACGAGCGATGGACGGAAAGACGAGAGGTGGTTTAAAAAAAGAAAGAAAGAATGAAGAAACACAAAAGCAGATATGAGAAACAGAGGGTGAAATAAGAAGATAGGAGAGATGCTGAGATTTCTGCCATGCTTGAAAGGAAGACAGTGCCATCTAGAGACATCATGGCAACAGTTGTTGTGCACGGGCATGCAGGAAGACCTGTTAAACCCATTCACTTACACACTGGCATCTCTAACTGGACATAGTCTTACTTTCTGTTATTTATCTCTCTAACACTGATGTTCACTCAGATTTCTATCATTTAAATTTGATTTTTATCCAGTTTTGGTCCTTTTGTCCTTACAAAACAGACACACTGTGAAGAAACATGTTGGCAGGAAGTCTTTATTTACTGCCTGAGACTTATTTTTTCAGAAGCTATCCCAGTCTATCTTTGCAGGTCTTTGCCAGAACTGTTGGATTGATAGCCCTCATCTCCCCTCTGCTGTCGAGCTCCCTGCTGCTTTTATTCAGGGTTTCCCAGGCTGTGCATTTTCCACTGGGCCTCTTATGTTTTCACCAAAATGCGGTTTTCTCAGCCATCGTGGATCATCCTGGTTCATTCATTGGCCTCACATCAGTAATACATGAACCCATTGAGACATCGTCACTCTTGTTTTAAAAATTACACTTCTATAAATATCACAAGCTGAAAAACAACAATGAGAAACAGCAAGGCTACAGTCATGAGAGATGAAACATAAGACTAAAAACTAAAAGCATGTTCTCAGAGCTAGGACTATGAGGGTTCCCCAGGCTGAAAAAGATTGAGACATGATATTTTGGACTACAAAGAGATCTTGGACGGGACTGCGAGGAAAGGAGGAGAGAGATAATTATCTCTAATTAGCTATGTTCAAGGAAGACAGCTAACAGAACAAAAACCATGCAGAGAGATCTTACTTTGGAAGACTGACCCACTCACCCACCTCCCCTCCCTCTCAGTATAGTTTCAAAAAATGAACACAAAACACAAGAGATATTATACAATTACATACATTTACTCATTCAAATAGAGATGAAATCTATAAAGCACAACTGTCTCAACATGGTCAACATTTAAATGTCAATGTTTGAGGACAAGATAGGCTGTGCAACAGACATGCACAGCACACAGTAGGTGCAGTAGACTCCCAGAGATGGCATCTAATGAATACAAACTTATTCTGTTTATCACAAATAGATTTCATTCACTAGTTGACAGATTGTCAATGTCACAGAAAAGGAGTTTCATTACATTTGTTGAAACAATCTAAATACCCTCCCTGAAAAAAAAGGCTTTTTTTATTTTATTTTGATGCTGACGTCACAAAATGTAAACTTTTGTGTCCATTACAATCAAGGTCCTTAAATTGCTCATCCGGAACATCACACTCGATTAATTTGGATTACCGTAACTAACTCTGGTCTGATCAATCTTTGAAGCCACTTTTCCCAAACTCAAAGTTAAGGCACGTGGCTAACAAAGAGGATCTAGTGTGTGGATTTTTTTGCACATTTTTGCCGTCATTCTGCCTGGTTTACATAAAACAACAACCAAACAATTCAAGGAGCTGCATCTGGACAATATTCTTCTCTGCCCGTGGATGGGATATTTATAACATGGCTTGTTTAAGTCGTTGCTTCAAATGAGATTCTCGCTCTAGTCGTTGAGCTAAAAAGTGCTACTTGAAGTATTAGCAGGACTCGTCCTGGTGATCTGGGAGGTCACAAGGCAAACATTTAGAATACACACACAGTTTCCACAAGTCAATACATAACTAAGGCTTCTCTGATAAGATAAGGAGCATTTTACACTGCGAGGAAGATTTTTTTACATAAATGATGATTTCCAAACAAATTTATTTGGAAAATATTATTAATAATTATTTCTTAATATAAAATAATAAGCAATTAGCAATCTGGGTTTACAGTGTTTATGCAGTAGTGTGTCTTTGGGACTGACTGAGGTTTCTTTTAAGGACTGGGTTAAAGGAACATTTAACAAGACCAGTAGGTGGATGATGGTCAGTTTTGGTGAAGCAAGAAAATCTTGATAGGTTCTGGAAGCGGTAATGAAGATATGTGGTTTAGACGATTTTTGCCCATCGTTCTGCGGATCCTGATGCGACACAAATGTGTCAGCCTACGAGGGTTTCCTGGGAGAAGAAAAAATAGAGGCAACTGAACAACTGCATATACTTTCATGCTTTTGTATAAGTAGAAACATAAAAGTGCGGCTTTTAATGACCTTTTTCATTGTACTTTATGGGCTTCTTTATATCAGCTCCTCAGCATCAACAAATGTTCAGAAACATGCATTACAAGGTCCTTGTTTCATGTAAAAGCAGCTAAGCTTTAACACGAGGAAAAATGCTTATTCTAAACATATATGAGATAAAATCCTTAAACTAAAAGCAGTATTCTGCAAACTCGGGTCTTTACAGAAAGAAGAACATACGTGTTACTAATGACATTAATGATGGCTTCATCATAAAGCCTCAAAAGCCTTCATTCACAAACTAATGGTGTCTGAAACTACTTCCATGTTTTCACTTTTGCTACACCTGATAAGACATTTTTTCCCATCAACTGGAATTTGTTTTTGTTTCCATCGGTAACCACAGCTCTCCTCTTTATCATTTGACCACATTATGCAGAGAAATGATATTTTGATGCACTGCTATGCTGATGACACATTGCTTTACCTCCCAGTAAAATCCACTGACATCAAACCTGTTTACTGCAAGAATCCAATCGATACAGAATCTGAGTGACCCTCTGACTATTATTCAGATTACTTCATATCTCTCAGAACGCTCTATCGGTCATTTAATCAGTATTAATCAGAAATCAGTTAATGAACTACTTAATGAACAATCTGAACCAGCAATGCGAAATGTAAACATATGACACCGGTTTTATTGATTCTACATTAAATCCACAATTTTGAGAGCCAATTTTACGAAGCACTACAAAAACTCACAACTTATCAACTAAAAAAATATTCTGGTGTTGTGAGGAGGTGCACCAAAAAAGCTCCCTGCCGGAGCTTTGTATAAGGCAACAGCATCGTTTTTTGTTACTTACTCTTTCCTTCCAAGAAGACACTGAGTGCCTCTGGATCAACTTTCCTTCGATTTGGAGCCTCCAACTCGGACTCATCCCAGGGCACGAGGGCTGGGTTCGCTCCGTGGTCCAACAGCAGGTGGATGAAGGCCACGTCACATCCATGTCGCAGGACTGCATCCAGCAGGCAGGAAGCCAAACCTCTTGTCAAAGCCTCATGGCAGACAGGACCTGTGTAGTTGAAGTCGGGCTGAGCGCCGGCCTGGAGCAGCAGCCGGAAACAGTGAAGGTGGTGGTAGGCTGCGCTTATGTAAAGAGGGCAGACCACTAGCGTGTTGAGGGTTCGAGCGCTTAACAGGAGCCGGGGACCCAGCTGGTGGTCCATGTCAACATCAGCATTGAACCTAGGAAAAATGTAACCACAGACAAAAAATTTCTTTCATAAATCCTTGATGCAAACTAAAGGAAAGAATATAGAGATATTTATTACTGTGGAAAAATATAAATTGAGAAGCTTTCCTTTATACAACAAATCCATTTGTTGTATAAAGGAATTCAGCGTCAGAATATCGTTACCTGGTCTGCTGCACGTCAGACCTGAAAACTCTGGACTCTAACTGCTGAAAATTTTTCCTCCACAGAAAGTTGGGTCAGATTGAAAGTGCAAGTTTGAGGTCTGTTGTGAAATCGTAGCGCTACGGTGCCAGGGGTCATAATGGGACTTCCAGAATTTATCTAAAAACTGCAGCTGGGGAAATGCTTCTGAATTTAATGGTTGGTGGGGTTTTTATGTTGGTTTTTTGGTCTCATGTTTGTCTTTGTGCTTTCTGGGAAAGGTGACAGAAAATGTTTTTTAAAGTCAGGAAGTTACAAAAAAGCTATTGGAAATGATTGCACCACAAAGAAAGTAGTGGATTAAAAATGCAAAGCACAGATAATCTCATGTGCAAAGATTAAACCATATGAAAAGAAAACTGTAATAACTGGAACAGACTCCCACCAGTTTTCAGTGGTGGAATGGAAGATAAAAACAATTTTAGTGCCAATTTTCTTTACGTATTTAAACATTTAACCTATATATAAAACAGTTCTGTCCATCTAGACTTTAGTTTGATCCTTCCCAAGGCTCACCTGATGAGCTCCTGCAGTATGTCCAGCCTCCCCACTCGTGCAGCATGGTACAGCGGGGTACTGCGGTGGTGGCGGCTACCATTGGGATCGGCTCCAGCTTCAAGAAGAATCCGTACACAGTCCAGGTGACCATTAACCACAGCTACATACAGAGCTGTTTGGCCTTTGACATCAACTAGGTCCACCTCGGCTCCCTGAGCGATCAGATAGGCCACGCATGCTGCGTGCCCCGCTGTGGCTGCAATCCTCAGAGGGGTGCAGGGCAAACAGCCACAACACCACACAGACTTCTCATTGATACGCCTAACACCAAAAGAGAGAAAGGAGAGGTCCAGGATAATACGTTTCCAATTTAAGTGCATTTACAAAGAAAAAAAACAGTCTTTAATTTTATGGTATATCAACCAAAAATACAGAAAAAAAAACATATAAGTTATAATTTCATTTGCATGTCATTGAGTGAAATAAGTATTTCATCCCCTACAAACCAGCCAGCATTCTGGCTCCTACAGATTACAATCATTCAGTCAATAACAGAAACTCCTGATCTCAGCTTCTTATATGCATAAAGCACACATGAGCATACAATCAGTTTCTTCCATTTCAACCTCTCCAAAAGATGTCAAAGGTCATCGGGGGTAAGATCGTAGCACTGTGGGTGCGATTATTCAGAAACTGAAGAAAAATAAAATGACCATCAGTTGCCCTCGGTCTGGAACTCCAAGGATGATCATGAGAAAAGTGGTGGATCAGCCCAAAACTGCATGAGAGGAGCATGTTAATGGTCTGAAGGCAGTTGTGACCTACACTGGGAACACACTACACCATAATGGACAGAAATCTCACAGCATCTGCAAGCTCTCCCCTCTGAGGAAAGCACATGCATGCCTGCTTTGGGTTTGCCAGTGAAGAGAAATACTGAGTATGACCCAAAGAACACCATCCACACATCCAAGCACAGAGGTGGAAACATTATGCTTTGGGGCTGTTTCTCTGCTGAGAGTATAGGATAACTTCACTGCATTGAAGGGTCCAGTGGATGAGGCCATGTACTGTAAAATCTTGGATGAGAACCTCCTTCCCTCAGCAAGAACAGTGAAGATGCATGACAATGACAAAACATTCCACAAAGGTTACAAAAGAGTGACTGAAGAAGAAGTACATTATGGCCAGTCTCCAGATGTCAGTCCTACAGAAAATCTGTGGAGGGAGCTGAAGATTTAAGTTGAAACATAAAGCATTTGCAGAGTTTCTGTGAAGAGAAGAGATGTGTGCAAACCTGGTGACCAACTACAAGACGTCTTACTGCTGTACTTGCCACTCAGTACTAACTCGTGTTTTGCTTGGGGATCAAATACTTATTTCACTCAATAACATGAAAATAATTTATGATTTTTATGGATTTTTAGCTGATATTCTGTCTCTCTCCATTAAAATGAAACTACCATTACAATTAGAGACTGTTGCTTTCTTTGTAAGCGAGCAAATTTAAATGTTCAGTAGAGGATCAAATCGTTATTTCCCTCATTGCATGCATGCTCATGACTATGAGATCTGTAGCTCTGTATGTTCTCCAGTTGGTAAATCCAGGCTCTGATTCTGCATCAATAGGAGGAAAGACTGAAGCTAACAACAGCAAAGCATTTTCCATTACAATGCTTTGGTGGTTACTGGACTGAGCCACTGAAAGGTTCTCTGTGTATTTTTAGTCCTCCCGTAGTGCTGCAGGGTTGCTTCCCTCCACAAGACTTCCACAGATATCAGAGTTGTAAACTGCATGTTTTTTACTTTTACTACATCAAATTTAAATTCTGTTACATGCACTACATTTGTAGTATATTGCTTTGACATTGCATTGGCATTAAACTATGATCCTCTAGCTGTATGCAGTATAATGCTATGGGTATTGGAAGACACCCATCCTGCTGTAAGATGATGGTAACAGCAGCCTGCTTTTGGTCTGTGTTTACTCCGATGAAAACGATTTGGAATAAGGTTATCTTTGGACTTGTTTGGGGGGGAAAGACAGTTCTGCTGTAAGAGACAATAACAAATATACTATTCTGTAATCTTTATACAAAATAAATCTATAGTCTCTCTCAGATTCTGCTGTCTCTCTGCCTGCAATGTCATCCCATCCCTCAAAGTGCAGACTGTTTTGGTACCTTGTCATTTTCATTTGTAATGATGTTTTGCTTTATCATTTACCAAGCAAAGCATGTGTTAACTTTGCTAACTAGAGAGCCAAATACTCTTATTACTGCTCGGCCTCACCGTCTGAAACCGTCTTCCTGCAGCAGGTTCCTCAGGGTGTCCAGATCTCCGACATAGGCTGCGTTGTGGAGGCGCATGTCATCCTGCTCCAGGGGTTTGTCGCAGAACTGCTCCTGCAGCCATTCCTTCAGGTTCCGACCTGCCAAACACAGCATTTCAGCGAGAATAACAGAAATGAAAAGTTGGTTTTGTCTGGTCTTGCAGGGCGATTTGTTACCATACAAAATTATATTTTGAAACTATTCTGCATATTATCAAGTGTAAATGATATCTCGGCTCAAATACACATAAGACAAAATACACATAAGGTGGCTGCAGATGAGCAGCAGTGGTGTAGTGACATTTTCTCATGTCTGCTCCATGCTGTGCTCAGAGAACTCCCACAGATGGAGATGTACACTGTAAAACAGCTCCTGAAATACACATTAAAAGGATCCACGTTACACTAGGCTGTGTTCTGCAGATGTTTCTATTACCGTGAGCTCTTCTGCCTGAGCCTTCAGATCAAATCAATCCATTACAACTCTTTTACTTGTGTGACTAGACAGAAAAACAGATGAAGTGTCACAGCTACACTGCAGCACTGGAGATGTGAACGCTTCCTGAATCCATTGGCCACACCTTATTAGGCTAGACACCGTCCCCTTCTTCCTCCTCCTCCCAACACCACCACATCTGTAATATGTCACGCATATTGGCCGTCCTCCTGCAAACGGGGCGCAGTTGCAGGACAGCCTGTGGGTGCTTGCGATGATCAATCATCATCGCTTACGGTTCTCGCAGCCATAGTTACCTGCAGCTGTAGCGCTGGGTAGATCGGACACGGTGATGAGCGGGGGGAAATTGATGCTGGGCGGGTCGTCAACATCAGCCTCTGGACCGTCGGCCATGCTCCCAAAATGGTCACAGCGTCAAGCTGAAGGTTGGTGCTGTGGCTGCAGAGCGACACTGGGTCCCCAGAAATAGAGAAACCCAAGCGACCTGGGATTAGATAAGAAGCATGAACGTAAACAAACGTGACTGTGTTGATGAAGACGTCTGCTGCTCCAGCTCACTGCGCTACTTCCTGGCTGAGCTCAGCTGCTGGGATTTAAAGGGGAAACGCTGCGTTAAACGTGGAGCTGATGGTCTCCGACTTTAAAGCACTTTTAACCCATAAAAGATCAAAACATCACCAACAAAGGCCTAAAAGATGTTCATTACGCAATCATTCAATACAAAAAATGTTTCACAAGCGTGCGTTTCTGTTAGCCTGTACATAAAAGATGGTTTTGATGCCTTTTGTTTACATACAATCTTAGGGGCACATCATATTTAGAAGTGTTCCTAGAGTTCATCACAGTCTCCAATAAATATCAGTCACACTTTGTTAATTATGATCGACTAAACGTGTTACTTCCAAGCCTAAAAGCCTACGTGTTGCTTTAAGGCCCTCACCACAAGACCAGGCATTACTCTTGAGTGAAAAAAATCCTTTATTTTTCTGCCAGGACACGTGTCAGAAATAATTATGCTGAATTAAAAATGTAGCAGGCCACTGCCTTACCTCAAATGAATGTGAGGCATAATTTGATGAATGTTCATAGCTGTGCGGTGTAAGTCAAATATGAGATCTGTGAGATCTGTGTGTAGTGTGAAGAAGACGCTGTTTAACTGATAGTTGCAGATGAAATTTTGGGGTGGGTAACATACACCAGGCAGGCATGCAGCTATGGCTCTCTATGCTGCCTGCTGACAGACACTGAGGTCCTGGTGTTGCTCTAAAAATAAATGGACAGGTCAGCAGAGCCATGTGGCCCCATAGGAGGACGGACTGTTTACAGACTGCCATCACTGAACATGGAAACCTGCTCATGGTTAAAAAAGTGCACTTCAGCTAGTTTCATAGGGTTAGTCATGGTGGTCAGTAATAACACAAAATCTGCCAAAATACTCAGGTTAGTTCTCACACACACAATCATTTTAAATTATAATTTAATTAAAACAGGATACTTGTGTGTTTTATCCACAGATTAAAGTCGCAAAAGTGATTTTATTTTCATTTGTCTTCAAGATTAGTGAAACTCAAAAGCAAAAGAGCTTTTAAGCTTTGTATAAATTCAGAGAAAAATGCTCTGAATTTGTCTGACAGCCATGTCTTGAGTCACTTTGTTGTGTCCTGCACTGCATCGTTAAACAGACACGCACAACTGAGGCTTGCCTTCTTTAGCGCCATGTGCTGAAGTCTTTCTGCAAAAGGAGCTTCAGCTAAATCTCCAGGTTGCAAAACAAAGGCTCAGCTGCTGTGAAAGTGATGCTAAAGGACATCTTACAAAGATTTCTGTAACAGCGCTGCCGTAGAAAGTTGCTGCTACGGTGTCACTGGATGGTCTGCTGGACGAGTCTTTCACACATAAGAGTGTGAGTATCAAATATCTTTAAAAAAAATTACATCTAAATAAACTCAAATGAGAAAAAAAATCATACCAATGTTATTCTGGAATAATCTAGACCAAGCTAACATCTTCAAACTTCATACAAAAACACACAAAAATGAGACAATTCTTTATTGCAATGTAACCATTTATTTCACTCCACTACAAAATTATATAATTATTTGAACTATGATACAGTCTCCACATATACATAATGTACAGTTTATAGTGTACACGATAAAAAGCCTTTTAATATAATGAATGAGCATGCGGGTTCCCACTTTTCCAGATGAGATTTTTGAAATGACATTTTTCAGAACGCTAACATTTCCTGTAAGTTTTCCAATGTATTATTTTTATAATACTGATATAAATATGGAGATAAGTCAAACTACAGTGTATTTTGCCTGATAAGTTAAAATGTAGAGTGCCACGTTTTTAAAAGACAGCCACATTAGATTTTTCCCCTTTCAAGCCTAATTTTTCCACCAATGACTCCCAGCCCACATGTTGTGTCGGCCACAAGTTTGCTAACCCACAGGTTTGGTAAGGCAGGCAGAAATCCTAGTCTGGGCAGAAAATAAATATTTAGGTGGTGTAAATATTTGCGAGAAAGGGAGTCGCTGTGCAGTGTACAAGTCGCCACATTCGCATGTGAAATAAAGCATCTAGTTTTGTAAAAACTGCATTTAGTGGTTATGATGGAGAAAAGGTGTAATGGATTCCATTCATCAAAATCACCTACATTTCACAGGAAGTGCTATTTTCCATTTTCTGTGTAATTGTGTTTTCTGGGAAGAAAAAGTGCAGCAGAACCAACCAGAATAACAAGCTGTGTACAAGTCTGAAAAACTGTAAAATTACTGTAAATTACTTTCTGTGTGTGTGTGGTTACCGCACTTTCACTCAGCAGCCACGCAAAGTTTGTATTTTTGTTTTCACCTTTTCAATACCAACATTTTCAGGGAAACTGAGGCAGGATTTAGTTTCAGTCTCTCATCTCTACTATCCAACTTACTACAAGTCCAGCAATGTTCAGATTAGTGCAAAGCATTTCTTACAAGTTGCAAAGGAAGCTAGTAAAATATGAATTCATATTTTTCAATGTATAGAGAAAGCTTACAAAACTTCCTATCAGTTTGGCAGTACGACAGTACGAGATGGTGGCGACCCTGCATGCTCACTGCTTTTTTCCTTTAAAGTATACAAGCTTAGTGTATTTATAAAAGAGTTAGAAATACGACAGAGTGAGAACATTGCTTATTGCAAAAAGCTTTTTTCTAAAAACGCTCTAATCAAAGTGCAGCAGTGCCTCAAAAGTGGAAGAGTGTTTTTAAAGTAGGGCAAGCAGTTTCCACTCATGACCTTCGGATAACAGCTAAAGAACGAAGACTCGAGATATTGCCGGTGGTGTCCTCTCCCACATGCAGCACACACACGACTGTGAGCTCACAGTTTGGGTCAGATGAAGCTTTGCTCTGGTTAAAGCGTGCAGGAGGCAGGATGCGTGACACTCACTGACTCACTTAGAAATCACCGCTCACATCTAGTTTTCTCACAGGGGGACATCAGACATTACACAGACTTTGCACTAGTGAGCTGGCAGAGTAAAGCCTGTTTCGTGTCGGAGTTGACTGTGACAGTTCTCACAGACGGTTGAATAAAATGTGTGAAACTGATGTAGAGAAAATTTCAGAGCTGTCTTCTTTTTCTTTTCGATTTAACACCGTAAAAAAAAATTGGTTTATGAAAACTGTAAATGTCAATGAAATGTTAAAAGGTTGGAAAATGTTACTGGACAAATTCATGCCAAGACACTACATTCATGTAACACGCGTTGTCATCAGCTCCACTCCAGGCCTCTCCACGAGCGTCTGATTGTTTTGTAGAAAATGTAAACGTTCTATCTAAACGTTCCTCCTGGTTTCAATCAGCTGGATGTGCCGTGAGTATGTTTAATTACTGTTACGGGTCTGCTCACTACTCTGGTCAAACTGCATGTCAAATATCAAGTGCTCACAAGAATAACATGCCGAGTGCACCACGCCCTCAAAAACTCGGTGATTAAATGAACGAGGAAACATTTAAAATTTGGTCCAGTGGATGAATGTGCAGCTTTCTGCTGTAATGTTCAAGTTGTGAGCTGTGCACTGGCTCAATGCATGAAGGCACCATTTCAAAAGAAGGGCCAAAGATTGGGTTACGTTAGTGTGCAGATCATAAAGATGCATTTTATTTATTCATTCATCTGTCAGTTTTCAGCTGCTATGTCTCCAGCATCATCTACTTTTTCCAATCCATCATCTAGTTTTTTGGGAACAGTTTCAGACCTCTAAACCGTCGAGCGGCCCTTTCACGTACCAATATCTTAAAGTGGAGTAGGAATATATTTGGGTCCATCATTGGGTCCTGGTCTGAAAACCTAAAAGTGTTCCCGTAATTCCACAACACCTCCAAGAAAACTGGCCTTACCATTATTCTGAATGAGAACGCACTCCCACCTGAATATTCAGTGCGTTTTTGGGGGTTTTCTTGTGCATCTTGTTTCTTGTTCAGGTTCTGGAGGAGACCTTGATTCCAGTCACCATTTTCTGGATCTTCTCTTCATTCTTCAGTATGTTGGACCGTACAGCACAAATCTTGTCCTGCTGGTCCTTAATCAGCTGCTCCAGCTCAGCTAGCTCAGCTTTAAGAGGCTCCACTGCCCGATCTGTCGCTCTGCAGCACGCACACACAAAGAAGGGATACAATAATTGTGTGCATGAAAGTAGAAGATGACTTAGCCGCTTGTGAAGTACTGATAGTCGTCTTTCTTTTTTTTGACTGTAAGAGTACAAAAGGAGTATAGCTAGAATCACAAATGTGTATATGTGTGTGTGTTTGTGTGTGTGAGATCTGGTGTTGGAAACAGCACAAAGATTATAAAGTGTGTTGATTATTCGGTGACCGAACCTCTGCTCCTGCAGCAAGGCCTGTGCGTGCTCCTTGTTTTCCCGCCGCCAGGAAAGCAGTTCAGCCTGCATGGCATCCATGTCCTCCTGGATGTAGTCCATGATCTTGCCTAAAGGTAGGGAACTACGGCACACCAGCTGAATGGATGAGCGCAGCCGTTCGATTTCTTTTGTCACCATATCCCGCTCCTTTTTCTGCGCTGCTTCAGACACCAAATTCTGAAAGGGAAGGTGGTACGACAGGTGAGGTCGGGTGGATTAAAAACATTGAATTCAAAACTTGCAAACATCAGATTCTAAGCACACGCAAGCTGATGACGTGGGGCGGTTTCCCACTCAGCAATGTTTCAAAACAGACACAAATCACTTGTGTGTCCCCAGACCAATACACAATAAACCCTCTTTAGGAATTCCACCTTTTTCAGCAAAGTCTCAAATATCCAGAACCAGAGCAGGGCTGCATTTAGTGGTTTGGGATTTCAAGGCTAAAAATGTTAGGCGGGAATTCTACCAACCTAGCTGTATATATAAAGATCAAAGGTGCTGCTGAATTGTGTTGGTTAAAGTAGGAGGACGGGGCTGACTGGCTGCTGAAGGCTTCCAGTGTATAGTGTGCGGCTAAAGTGGGCGGTGGGGGGGTGGGGGTCGCTCTATCCCAATTACATTCAGACCCTTGATGGAGAAAAGGAGGGGAAGGTATCAGGGAGGGACCTCCCT